AGTGATGGCCTCCCCCTAGTAGTAGACTAAAACCGAGGGCCCGACCTCACTTATGACGAGAGTGGCATGAGTCTCTGGGCACTCTGGGCTGCATCCTCCAAATGACCTTTTCTTTTATGGATGGTGATGGTGCCCCGAAACAACACGTGTTGAAGGTGGGCGTCCAGTTTTGAGCTGCTTCGAAGGGCTCCACTTACCTGAGTTGACGAGAACCAGCGAATGGATCACCGTGCTCTGTATGTGTTTGCTTTTTGTTTAAATAGAAGCAGTACTTCCATACAGTGTTTGTAAAACCTACGCACAAGGGAATCAAAGAACACCTCTCAAGCCGAAGATCCCCAGCCCAGCCCGAAGCATCCGGGAGTTATCACCCGGGCGAGTCGTGTTTTGCGCTTCAGTTTGGCTCTCTGTCAGAAGGGGCGGATGTGGGGCGTCCCCATGCAGGTGCCTCAGCCTTCCTCGAGGCGGTCTTCAGAGGTTTCAGGTTCTGCGGGGGTTGTTTGAACGGCTCATCTAGGCTTCTTGTCGAAGTGCAAGAAGGTCATCCACGAACTCTTCCAAGATATCCGTCGGCATACAGACTGAATGTCCTCAATGTCTGCATCTGAAAAATATGCGTAATCCTCATCAAAGTCCACTTGATTGGAATAAAGACGAATTGAATCCTGCTGCAAAACAGTCACTATTCCTCTGAGACATTTGCGGATCCATCTCTTTCTGAAAGCATTGATCTCTTCTGTCTTCTTGGCCGTGACAATCCGTGACATATCTTTGCTGTCAGAAAGCCTTTCACACTGCATTCTCACCCCCCCAGCGCATGGAAGTGCCAACCTTGGGGGCTGCAAACTCAAAAAGTCTGGCCTAAAAAGAACTGATCAACCGCTGCTCATCCTGAGTAAAGCCCTTCGTTGGACAAAGCCGGAGGTGGTCTCCCTGGCGACTCGAGGATATCCACGGCCATGCCCTCGTCGCTTTGCATGATGGCCTTGTGGCGCTGAAATGCCTTCTCTAGGAGCTCTTGAAATTTTCTCCATCTAGCATGCAGATTTCTCCACAAGGACTTGGATTTGATGAGCATCGACAGTACAGAAGCCAGCTCCAAACCGCGGATCAAACCAGGGCCAATACCGAGGTTGTTGCTACGATGTTCAAGAGCTTTGCAGCCAAGAATGAAACAGCAAGACCACAGCATCCGGAATATGGCCACAATGGCTTGCCGCGCATAAAATGTTCATAATTCAAAGCAAGCGATGTCACCCGACTGCATTTTCAGAAACACTACTGTCGAGGAAGTGGCTGAATCCAGGATGCTTTCTTTTGTCAATCGGACAAACCAAGGTGCAAATCCAAATCTTAGCGCTTCTTCTGACGGAATAGAACAAATCACGTTAGCAACACGCTCATTTGATCTTTCAAGGTGCTCTCCCCAGTTTTGGCCCAACTTTCTCAAACATGACTTCCGTGCTTTGAGTAAGGTTTCCAGTGACACAACCGCTTCTTGCACCAAAGCCACGTTGCCCTCGTGCCCAAGCTTACCAGTATCTACTGCCTGCCGGCGGCTGAAGAGCTCTGCAAGAACAGAGCCCATGAAGCGCGGACATCCAGCGGCAAGCCTATGAAAAACCGGGGATGTGTGAGCAGCTGCGATGACGTCCCAGAGGTACATGAAAAGGTCCTGGGGATAGTTGCACGAGGGAAGAATCTTGGCGACTCTCATCTTGGTGTCCAGCCCGCCGTGCTGGACAAACAGCTTGCAGTACAGGAATCCACAGGCCTCCAATAAAGGAATCTCATCTGTGTACTGTACAGATCAGACCAATGACCAAAACCAGATCTCAAGCCCTGCTAGCGGCAGAAAGGGACAAGCGAAACGTCTCATCGCAGCGGCCCAGCAAAAGGCCGCTCGAATCCTGAGGAATCCACTGCAGCAGAATGAGATGGCCGAGCGTGTCCTTCACCATGGCGGATCGTGTCCTTTGACCGGACCCTAGATCCGAGGACAAGGTTGCGGGAAGCCTTGTCTGTGCGAGATATGGGGTCTTTGATTCAACAGCCCAAATTCATGCAAGTTTCTTCTTCACTGTCCTGACTGACCAGCTAGCATGGATTGACTGGTTGCCCTGACACGTCTCCTACCATTTTTGTGTAGTGCACTTCATTTGGATATGATATGCATCAATCCTAAGACGAATAACTTAGCCAAAACTGCAAAACCATGCAAAACCCAATGCATTGATTGGTCCTTCAATACATCCCTGCTGATAGACACTGTTGCGCTGCTCCGGCCACTCACCAAGAACCTCAAGTCTATTTGGCGCTCTTCAAAACCCGCAAAACCAATCAAGGAGGTAAGACCGCGACATAACTTAGCTGGTCAACATGTTGCATTTTTCGAAACACTGCGAAATCACACCCTTTTTCTCAAACACACACACACACAAACACACCTCTCAAACCCTCATCCACAGCAGTCCCATGTCCACGTCAAACGTCCCCAGAAGCGTGTATCAAGATGCCTCATCTGTGGGATCTTCTTCCCCCAAGGGTCGTTCCTCACGGGGCTCCTCAGTGAGGGCGATAGAGATCTATCCGCGTTCTACCTGCAGTTGCATGGAGTTGGGTGAAGGATAGAGGTGCCCGGGACATCCAGTCACCAACTCGGGTCTAAAAAACACCCCTTTTTGGAACTCATGGAAAGCAGGGATGGGGACATCCGACAATGGGCAGCAACTATGGATGTACGATGGTGTCCCCAATATGCAAAAACACCAATGACTGCTGATCAATATTATACAGTACAATATAAATATATACCGTATATACATATATACATACTACCCCTCCATATCTAGATGTAAAAGCATTTTGATATGTACGTACCCCTCATCTGGTATACAATTCTATACAATTCTGGTATGCGCCCTCATATGGCTAGGGCAAATCAAACGCTCTAGGGTCCCGGCTCCCCAGGAGTCTCCACCTAGGTGGTAGGGCCAAGCTGAGGCGAATGTATGAATGTGGGATGGCCCCCATTGGATGACCCTGAAATCCGAAGACCCAACAAATGCTGAGAAACTCCATTAATCTTGACTTGGAATGTGGCCAACAGGCATATGTTGCATTGCAGTTACAACAAAAAGAAGTGACTCGAATGGTTTGGTCATTATTCATGAATTGATCTGAATCTATGGCAAGTTTCCACATGATTGAGCATGTACCGGGTACGATTGTGTGGTCATCGCCGCCTTTGGACCATCTTGCAGCATCAAGCTCCTGTCTGAGGAGGCCGCGGAGGACAGCGGAGAGAGTCTGCATACCTTGTGGAGGACAGCGGAGGAAGTTTAGGCAGGGCTCCCATTCTGAGTCCGACTGCATCGCGGCAACAAACATGGGGCCACTTGCTATAGCCTTGACAGACACCTCCAGGGCGAAACAACCATCTGGAGCATGTTGGTAAATTCATCCTCTTTGAGTCTTGTGACCAAAGTGCCAATGTCGTTATATCCTCGTGAATCCACTGTGGTTCATTCGTCGGTGTGTCACTAAAGCACTTGGACGAGACGAAACCAGAAACCATGCCGCACCCACAAGCTCCTAGACGGATCAAGATGGCCTGCAATCATGTGGCCACCCAGGTAAAGGATATGATATGATAAATGGTGCTCAGTCCGGATCAGGCCATGATACATGGTATATGACGTATGAGAGCTGTCAGACCACCACATTTGCTTCCATGTTCCAAAATCAGGGACTGGTTGTGAACTGGAGCAGGATCCAAACGGAAAGCATGAACAAAAACACCCAGATGTCAACCCAGTTCGCCACATCACTTCGCCATATCTCTTCGTGCCGAAACCGATGCGCCGCGTCACCGAAGAAACGGCCGGACGGGTCCACGCCTGTGGCACTTCGGAAGAGGCGCCGTCCACGCTCGCCCGAGCTGCGGTGGCTCGGGGGGGCGACAACGTCAGTGGTCGTCGAGCGGAGAAAGGGGAGGGTGATTTGGAAGGTGGCTATTATGTAAATATAGGGTGGCATCCAAAGCCCTATTGGAAAGGAAGAAGAGACTGTCATTACTGTCGTGCAATAACTGTCGTCATGTTTATGTTGATAAAGAGAGTCCTCAAAAGTACCTTCACGAATGGACACCTCCAGTTCCTGGATGTTCCTGGATCTTCTTCACCTTTCGGAGATCGAGAAGGGGACTCCAAGTGGAACGAATAGGCGCGACAAGTCCGAATAGATCAACCACCACACACACATGAGTCACAGTGATGTGGGATGGCCCATTGTTCCTCCCGTCAACGACCTGCAGGTCCTTGTCCTTTTTCGCACCACCGGGCTGCGCGTTCTACGCACGAGGACCGAGAGAGGTCGGTCCCAGTCGCAGAGGTGCCCAGCGAACGGAGCCCGTGGGACGGAAGTCTTCCGAAAGTGCGTACAAGGCGCCCGGAAATAAACAGATTGAAACCAAAGTCCCAAGAAAGAAGGATTTACCCGGCAATTTCAAAATAAAACATCACCTTAAGCAAAAATATCTTAAATTCGTTTGAATAATATTGAAATATGTGGAATACCTGTTCCATTTTTTCCTCTTCCTCTGTTCCTCCCAAGAGTACCCTGGCAGCATTCGGAGATGTGTGCCGAATTGCTGCTGGCGATAGCCTTGTAACTTCTACTATAGGACTATAGGGGCACTCTGTGTCTTGGCAGTTGTGAGAAACACCGCGTGTATACAGATGTCACGACGACCCAAAGGACCCCACCAAAACATGCAACACTGAACAAGATCAAAACGATTCAGTGACGATCAGTGACGAAGTTTGAGTTTGAATGCACAAAAGCAAAAACAATGCACAAACGATCAGTAACGATATAAAACAATCTAAAACAGATCAGACATACATCCTAAGGGTCCTTGACTCATGAGGCGACCACCTCTGTCTTTTCATCTCGACCCCTGCGACCGGTGCACCGACCCAGGACCGAGCGGAGCCCGCTCACCAGGGACCCTGCCGGAGCGGGAGCAGTCACCCAGCGAAGCCCAGTCATGGGGTGAGTCGCAGTCATGTTCACGAGCCAGTCGCAGTGTTTTGGTGAAAGGAAGCGCCGTTTGTTGTGCACTATAGTCTATAGTTATCATATAAATAGTTATCATATGATTATCATATAATTACAATAATATTCTGTGGCTGCTTTGGGGGTCATCTTGATCACTCCCACTGCCTGCACGTGCACAAACATCCACCGCGAACGGGTAGGGGAACAGGGTCCGAACACGTGTCTACGATCGGAGTCATGTTAGATGTCGTCTTTGTTGCAGGAGGATAGAGCTTAGAACCATCAGGATGTAACTATGTTGGCTGTTGGCTTTAGACCAGAATCAGGAGTTGCTAACTGCTAAGAAGGAGTCACCACTTCCCAGTATGCCCTGAGTGAGCTGAAACTGCACATCGTTCCAAAACAACTCCAAATGAGTGGTGTTTAATATACCTCAAACCATGTCTTTTCCTCAAGTGTGGAGGGCGAGCATGGCGTTTAGGCAGGGCACAAGTTGGAGTGTGCAAGAGTCTGTTAGAGCTCATCTACCATATCCTTCGACTTGTGCAACAACGCAAATGCAATGCGGAACTGCGAACTGTCAACCATGTTCCACATTCGATCTTAAGGCCAATGGCTTGGCTAGGGAAATGTAGAGGGGATATGTCCTATAAGTCATCATGGAACAAAAATATAGGAAATCGACCTACGACTTAGGAGTAGGGCACACAGGAGAAACATGTTCTCCACTTCTGCCACTGCCAATGCATCAAATCTTGGTTTCCAGATGGGACACTTGTGTCTGTTTTGGACCATTCCCTTTCTATCGCTTTCTGGTCACGCCGCGTTTGAAACCAGCCTGCTGCGTCCTTTCGTTTTGTCAGCCGCTTACAAATCATTTTGAGGTTTTTGTATCTTTGCTTCTACTATACTATACCGCCGACTTAAACATCATGATGGGGTCTCTTAGGCTTCTGGGGGACGTTACTCTTTAGCTCGTGACTAATTATTTTCAGCTAACATGGAATTTAACATGTTGATCTTTCCTCATGACATCTCATGACGTAGGAGTTCCAAAGTTGATCAAATTTGGCTATACTTTCGACCAATCCTCGGTGGTTAGCACACCCCACTTGCATTTAGGAACAGAAACGTTGCTGCGCTTCTAATAATGCCTACTAACTACTAGCAGTTACTAGCGCTTTCAACGATGGAAGATCGAGATGGCCCATGTCCTATCATTTCTCAGCCTCCCCTCCTCCGACTCCTCATCTGAGGGTGACCATGTTGGCTGGGTTTGTCGTTTCCTGGGGTCGCCCCCACAAGGAGTGGAGTGTATGTGGATGGACATATCCTCACTACCGTGCGGTTCAAAAGGACCGTTCCTTTACTACCGGCCTGCCTGGCCTGGGGCGCTGGGAGAAACATGGAGAAACCAGTTTGCTGGGCCGAAACTGAACAAGATCCCGCCTTGCCAAAGGAACCCTTCCAAGCAGCGGGGCTCCAGCCTGTGGGTCTACACACCCGCAAGAGCCCTTCCAAGATTCAACTAGATGTTCTGAGTAAAATGGATGTTCTACACACACCCCTACCACAAACCCCTCACTCGATCCATCTCCATCCCAACTTGGGAGTTTGTTTCTCAGCTCAGATGGAGGCAGGAGTTTATGCCAGCAGAATCATACGGACTGGGAAAGCACTGTCTTAAAGATCCGAGGGCTACCTGCGGGGCACTCATCTACCAAGCGGCACTTGTTTGTGGTTCTTTCTTCTGACACACGTCGTCACGTCGCGGCGTGTTGTGTTGGGGCTGAAGACTTAAATGTTGTGCCCACACTGAAGAAAAGAACTGGCAAACGATTGGCATCGAGCAATCCTGCCATGGTCTTGGGCAAAAGAATAGACATGGTTCGTAGACTCACCTCACTTGATTCATCAACCAATCAAGCATCACTAAGCTGAATATGCTGCCAGTTCCAAACTCCGTCCTGCCTTTCCAGCCCTTGGCGGCCCATTCGCCCCAGGCTGAATCTGCTTGTGGCCAAGCTCCTTTGACTCCTTTCCCCTTGCCTTCAGGCCACTCTGACCAGTCTTGCCCCCACTCCCAATCACCTTCCCATGGGTTAGGCGAGTTGCTCCCCACCATCGCTGGCCAAGCCTCCCCCTTCCCTGCCGCACCGCCCCCAACCGGGACATTCGTAGCCGCGGGCGCTGTGGCAGTAGCCACACCATCACCGGCCCAACCGTCTGGCCCGGCCCACGCCTCACCCTGACCCCATGCACTGCATGCGCCACTTGCGCCAGATGCACTTGGATCTCCCTTTCCCCACGCACCACATGCGCCACTTGCGCCAGATGCATCTCCCTTCCCCCAGGCAGCACCTCCGCCAGATGGATCTCCCTTGCCCCAAGCACCACATGCGCCGCATGCAGCTGTGCTTGGATCAGTCCACTCCTCCCATCCACTCTGCTCATTCGGCCACGTGTCACTTCCAGTGGCGCCGCCAGCATCGGGCCACGGCCACGTACCTGCAGCCAAGGAGCAGTTGCTGTGACCCCTAAAGGTGCCGAACATTCCCCAAGCAAGCGGAGCATAGCGGAGTTGTGAAAGATTGGTCCGGATCAACTAGAAGCCATTGACTGGGAAAATCAAGCAAGCCGGGATTCATGTTTGAAGATGTTTGTTTGCTTGGTGTGTGCTAGTGCAAGAAAACACTTTATGATATTGGTAGGTGGCTGAATGCTGGTTGAAAAATGCCGGGCAAAACAAAACTAACGGCCACGTGGGAATGGGTAAAAACGAAGCCTAGACCACCAGCACCAGGAACATCTCAACTTAGTATCTTTCAGAGGTACCTGGTATTGACGTCGGCTATGGAGTCCTGCATTGGTCTGCTACTTGCGCTTAGTTCTTGGCCATCCCAACTTCAAATGACACCCTGGCCCTCCCTCCCACGTCCCATCTGCACAACAACTCCACCGAAGTCAGTGTGATCAAGCTGAAGAGTGAGAGTTGGCTTGCTTCCTATCAAAGTGACTGGAACTTTATGATCGTGGCTGCCTCAAACTTTGAGAAAGTCCAACGGACACTCAAACACTTCGCTCGGTTTTTGATGTCTTTTCCAACCCCAAATCACTAACTGTAACTTACTATATACCATCTAGGAATCTAGGTTGGGGATACCGTTGAGATGCGCCCAAAAGGAAAACCAAAGATCCAACCTCCACTTTGACCGCACGCTAGTTCCGCCGGAATCGTCGCTGGTGCCTCGACTCGCGCAAGCGCGCAGCCGTACGTGTGCGGGCAAAAGTTTGAGGGGGGGTCAACATCAAAACAATCAAACCACATCGCATCAAACAATGATCTTGGAATCTTGGTTATATCCATTGATGCGGTCAGGTCATGTCAGGCTAATAATGGCTAATCAATGGGTATTCAGGAAGCACCGTTGTCTTGATCACCCTCTTGTTTACAAGCCGTACCCGGCAAAGCAATTCCTGATCCAACTTGGCCCACAAGGCATGTTCTCTTTTGCAATCATTTAACATGCCGCTTGCATATTTTGGTTACGTAGCGTGGTATGCTACTTGGGGTGATCTACTGGGAAAAAGTTCGAATGCAGAACGTGTGGTTTTTGTGTCTCCTCAGCCATGGCAGCCATGCTGGTCGCCATGCTGGTCGCCATGGCCGGTGCGGCGGCCGCTGCGGTGGCCGCTTGAGCAGCCATTCCCGCAACTTGAGCGCTGGCTTGTAAGATGGCCTCCTGGGAGTGGCGAACGTGTTTTTACCGATCAACATTCATTTTTTGTTAGGTAGTACATCCTATTATCAGGGCCCAGTGGATCATGATGGCTAGGTTGCAGGCCTTTCTCAAAATAGTGATATATATATTGTCAATGTTGCGAATGCACATGTGAGATTTGTTTTCCATTTTGCAATGCATTTCATGATGAGAGCGGATAGATGACATTCGAGTCACACCGCAATCGAATTTCAAGTCTCAAATCCGGCCGAAGGGCCCTTGAGTCACGTTCGGCGACGACCTTCGCCACCCGCTGGCATCGTGAGAAAGGACGCATCGCGGCCTTCGAGTTCTTTTTCTTTGGTTGCTTGGAACTTCGTGAGTTCAAGTACTTCGAGATTGGTAGCGGAGCCCAAGACGATCCTCCCGGAATTTGACCAGGGTGAACTTTTTGTTTGAGGACGCCTATAGGGTAATCCTGGCCGGTGAGAATTGGCTCATCTTAAAGATCACGTTCAGCAAGGCAGTCACAAACGAGTGGTCAGCAAAGAAGACAGCGAGATAGACAAGAAGGTGAACAACCAGTTGATGTCCCCATACCTCCTTCTCCTCCACGTGCAGCGAATGGAGCTAGTCCAGGAACTCCTTCCTCTGGATCCAACAACTATCGTGGATTGGATAGTGGCTTGGCAAAGGCCGCACCATCGGCCGAGGGGCTAACGCAAAGTGGCTATCGCAGCTACAGAAGACGATTGGAATTGTATGCCCTGCAGTGTCGTCGACGCTCAACGGATGCTGAGATTGAAGGTGCTCTTTTGGTCATCAGCCTCCTCAAGGACACTGTTTGGGATGCAGCAGAACAAATAGATTTGAAAGAAATCACCAGTGGAACAAATCCGTTCGCACCTTTGTTCACTATGATGGACCAGCTATTTCAATATGAAGAACAAATTGAGGTTCCATATCGGTGTGAAGAGTTCTTTCAAAGCTTCAATCGTCAGAAGGGAGAAGAAATGCAGGCATACCTCATTCGCCATCGCACTGCTTTGAAGAAACTTCGAGAGGTCAAGATCGACATTCCACCACTTCTTGCTGGATGGCATTTGTTGACCCGAAGTGGAACTCCAAAATGGACACACGTGCAAGTGAAAGCATTGTGCAAAGGCGAGCTTGACTATGAAGAGGTCCAACGAGCTTTGCTTCGAATGTTTGGTGGAGACCACAAACCAAACACCAAGGACATTGGACCTGTGGCCAAGTCATCCAAAGACGCGTTCTTCTACGAGGAAGACTATGATGAGGAGTTCTACTACGAAGGAGAAGAAGAAGATGATTGGCATGAAATCTACTATGAAGGTGAAGAAGATGAAGAAGAAATCCCTGAGGAGCTTGAAGAGGCATACGAAAACATGGATGAAGCCTACATTTCCTACTTGGAATCAAGAAAAAGAATGAAGGAACTTGCCTTGGCTCGTGGCTTCTATCCCGTCGTAGCCATTGGTCCTGACTTCGACCATGGCAAAGGAGGCAAAAGCGAAAGAAAGGGAAGCTCAAAGGGCAAAGGAAAGAGCAAAGGAAAAGGAAAAGGAAAAGGCAAAGGAAAAAGCATGTTTCCTCGACGCCCAATGCATGGTCTTCGAAAGCCACCATCATCGTCGACCACGACTTCCTCCGAGTTGAGATCAACCCTGACCGGTTCCAATTCTTCTCATGGACCGAGGTTCAAACGATATCGAGTGCAAGCACAAGGTGTCAAAGAAGTTGGCGGTGAAGAGGTAACCATGGTGGAAGAACTAACGGAAGAGTGCTTTCAAGAGGACATTTTCTTTGCCACCCTTGCTCCAGGTCACGCAATTGTGGATTCAGGTGCAACAAGAACATTGGTTGGAGAAGAAGTGTGGAAAGAATGGGTCGAGCACTATGATGAAGGCCTACTTGGACCTCTCCGTACTCAGGCACAAAAGCGATCCTTCAAGTTCGGCGGCGGAGAGATGCTTGAATCCAACTACGAAATCTCCTTCAACGCCTTGGTGAAAGGTCAAAAGCTGCCCATCACGGTTTCAGTGGTACCTGGGCACACTCCCTTCCTGTTGGCAAGACCTATGCTGGAACAATGGGGGGTGAAACAAGACTACGCCAGTGGCAACATGAAAGTGGCTCAATCCGAATGGTTTCAACCAAGTCGTGGACAAAAAGGTCACTATGTCTTGAACTTGTTGGAATATCATGACGACGAACAAGAAATGAACTACATCATGGAAGAAGAGGTTTTGATCACGACAAGTCCACTGGAAATTGAACCTTCCTGTGAGTCAGAACCGTCTGACATTGCAGAGCAGATCCTCATGGAGTCCGAAGCAAATGAAGTTGAAGAGATTTCTCAACAAGTTTTGCAGCGCCTTCAACAAGAAAGAAAATTGATCTTCTTTGAGGTCTATGTGGATGAAGGCAACCTGGCTACAGAACTGTTGAAACGCTTTCCAGACTGTGAGGTCGCTACTTTCAGCTTACCTCACTGGGACTTTGAAAAAGAAAATGACCGAAAAGCATTCCTCAAGTTGGTGAGAGAGCAAAAGCCTCACTTCATCTGGTGTGCACCACCGTGTACGAAATGGTCACCAATGCAAAGGCTCAACATGATCAAGGCCGAAAAGCTAGCCTACATCCTGGAATTGCAAAAGCAAGAAGAAAAGCAACATTTGAAACTGGTTTTGGATGTCACCGACATCTGCAACTGGGAGATCAATGCCGGCATGGCCATGGAGCATCCTCATTTGGCTATGTCGTGGAAGACGAAAACCTTGGAGTCCATGGATGGTTATGATGCAATCTGCAACCGATGCAGGACCGGTTTGCGCTACTATGATCGCATGGGAAACTATGTCGGAAAGGTCAAGAAACCTACGAGGATTCGCACAAACAGCCAAATGGTCTTTGAAGCACTTGATCTTCCATGTGAATGTCTTCCTGGAGAGCATGTTGCTATGGATGGAAAAGCAGAAAGCTTGAAGAAAATGCAAAACTACGAAAGAGGCTTCGTGAAAAGAGCAGCAAATGCCATCTATCAGGAGATGGAAGAACGATGGCGACAAAGAGAGATAGCCAAGATCTATATGGTTGAAGAGCAGGATGAGAAAAACAAAGTGAAGAATGCATCCAACATTACTGAGGAAGAGAAGAAGCTGATGAAGACCCACAGCAAGCAAAACCTACAGGTCATCAGCAAACTGCACAAGCAACTTGGACATCCAGGTGTAGATCGGATGATCAAAACGCTTAAAGATGCAGGTATGGATGAGTCTCTGATCCGATGTGCCAAAGACTACAAGTGTGAAGTATGTGAGCAACAGGCACAACGGAAATTGGAGAAACCAGCTTCACTGCCTCAGGCCAGTCACTTCAATGAATGTTTGGAAGCCGATGTTTTTCACATCCGCTGGAATGGAGAAAAGCGAAAGGTTTTGGCCATCCTCGACATCTACTCCAAGTACGAAATCAATGCTGTGTTGGAGAGAGAAACTGAAGAAGTTGAACTGAAGATACTTCGTGAACAATGGATTCAGACTTTTGGTCCTCCAGAACGATTCCGAACAGACCAGTCAGGAGCACACATGAGTCAGAAGTATCTGGACTTCTTCGACCAAAACAACATCAAGCTGATCCTCGTACCCAAAGAAGCTCACTATAGAATGGGATCAGTGGAAAGACTCCACGCAGTGAGAAGAATGCAGCTGCTCAAGATGCAAAAAGATGAACCGAATGTACTCCTTGAAGAAGCTGTTCCAGTTGCTTGTCATCAACGAAACCGCCTTCGTTCAGTGCATGGCAGCTCACCATACCAAATCGTTTTTGGACACAATCCTCAATCGAACGGTCTTTGTGATGAACCGCACTTGTCCAAACCGCTCGATGACACGGAACAGCACCAAAAAGATCAAGCACTTCGGTACTCAGCAGCCAAAGCATTTTATGAAGCCAACAACAACCAGCTGCTCAAACGTGCACTTCTTGCCCGGCCACGGTCTGAACATGTGGCCGCCAGCCTTGGCGATTGGATCTACTACTGGAGACAGGGGGAAAACAAACTTGACCCTACTCGCTGGCGTGGCCCTGCATTGGTCTGCGCCATAGAGCCCCGCAAGAACGATGACGGCCGCATCCGAGCTTCTGTTTACTGGGTTGCTCATGGATCCAGTTTGGTGCGTGTTGCAAGTGAGCATATTCGTGCCGAGGTGGCTCGAGAAAGAGTTCATCGCCTGGAAACGCAACCTGACACAGCTGTTTCGAACAGTTTGGTTCATCGAGTTCGACAAGCTCTGACCCCTGTGCAGGGTCCTGTGCGTTTTCTTGATCTTGCAGGGGATCCCACCTTTTCGAATGCAAAGGCTGAAACTTCTGTCCTTTCTCTGGTACCACCAGAGACAAAGGCTGAAACTTCTGTCCCTCCTCTGGTACCACCAGAGAGTCCAGAAGTTCCAATGTCAGAACCTCAAGCCGAAGAAGAAGTGACAACAGAACCTCAGCACACTGCGGCAGCAGCAGAAGACAAGACAGCAGCAGCAGAAGCTGAAGCAGTTGAAGTAGAAACAAAAGAAGACCAAGATCCAAGTGGCCGAGGAAGATCAAGAAGCCCTCCACCTCATGACTCTCGGCACAAAGACTTTGAAAACCTGTATGAGTCCTACAACAAGGCACGTCAACTTGATGGCCTCCCGCCTGTTTCTCGAGATGATCATCAGCTGAAAAGTCAATATGACATGCTGTATGGTGAGGAAGTTGATTGGCTGGACGAAAATTTCCTGGCCACTTCGTTCAGTGAGAAGAACCTCACCAAAGAGCAGAAAGAAGAGTTCGCCGAAGCTCGCGACAAGGCTTTGGATGTCTGGTTTGAGAATCAAGCATGGCGACCAGTCGATGCCTCCGAAGCCCAACCAGGCGAAGCAGTACCAGCAAGATTTTTGCAGCGCTGGAAGCCAACGAAAGAAGGGCAGAAAGCAAACGCCCGAATCATCATACAGGGA